CCCCTTCTCTTGGTAGACTATCCTAAGCAAATATAAAATGCGTGTAAATCAATTATTAGAGTAGGTCTCTCTTTTAGACTCTGTACAAATTTTCTGATGCAATAATGAAAAAAGTTCCAAAACTATAAATAATCTTTGGTTTCAGATTCTGGGGCAGGTTTGTGTTTTGTGGAAAAAAACTTACAATCATTAAAGAATTATTTTAAAAATAAAATTTTTATCAATAATTTAGCTAATTTGTAAAGTTTTATAAATTGCGAAAATGTGGCAAAATTAAAATTGTAAGGAACTATTTTAAGCGTAGTATGTTCCTAGTTTTTAGGTACTGTATTTACTGAACTAACATGGAGATATTCTTTAGTCTATCAATTACCTTCAACAAAATATCAACACATAACTGACATAAAATTTTCATATTATGGAGTCAGCGATTTCGTTTAATTTAGAGACTAAAAGTATTGTTCCTCCTTCTGTTCCATTTTACTTCAAACAGCACCGTGCTAACAATTTTACTAGTGAAACTTACGCCGGTTTTCGATATTGTCAAGAAAGACGGCAGCAAAACAAGCGCCATTTCTGTCGAGACCAAGTCCTTCACAAATCAAGCAAAGGGACTGTTTTGACAATTGAATATTTATTGGACCTAGATAACATTTATTTAACAAAAACTTCTATTGATATGTTTTAGAACTTTTAAAGCTGTAAGTATTTTAATACTATCAAAAATAGTGTCGCTCCTTTAGATTTAAGTAATTAATTTACTTTTTTTTATTCAATTTAGGCTAGTCAATTTACTGAATTGTCCTATCTTTCAGTTTCAGTCCGAGTCACTAAATTTAACTTTTAAACAGATGACTCAATCATCAAAGAGAGTAGCAGTGGGTTGTATATGCCTGCCCTAATATTAAGTTAAGCAAAATTCACTTATTTCCCAGGGCCGTCATCTTAGTTGCCATGACCATGATGGCAGCTGGTAAAAAAAGAAAAGTACTGGGTAGAGCAAACACATGTCTGTAAAAATCAGGATGGAAAAGAGACAATGTGCTGTTTTAGCTAATTACATAGAGAAATGAAAATGGGAACAAAACATTAAAATCTAATGAAATAATTTCTACTGGTACATTGTACATTAATTTCATGGTGAATGTAAATTAAATGTAGCAAAAAAAATTTGATTATTTTCGATGGAAAGGAACAATCAGATACGTGTGGTTAATTATTTTGATTCGTTCATTCAACAAGGGGAAAATGTATTAGCAGCTTTATTGTATCCCTCAAGAGTCTAGATATGCTGCAAGAAGTGCCACCGACACCTTACCTGATGTCGATGTAATTTCGGCCGATCCATTAATTTCGGGGGGAATGCAGCAACTTCATTGTATCCCTTTAGCCTTTAGCCTTTAGATATGCAACAAGAAGTGTCAATGTCCTGGGGTAATTTCGTCCGGTAAAGGCTCCCTTCCCACAACTTAAGTTTGCTACCGTTACTGTTACACATCATAGTATAAGAGTGTAAAAAAAATTTTATAACACTACAAAATCATTTTAAAATAATGAAAACACAACTTACAGCTTCATAGAATACACACTTTATTTCAGGTTCCATCAAAAAGTCAGAAAATCAATACTATTACACTTCAATACTATACCCATTTTTCAAAAGGCAGTGTCTATACGTCCGGCGTGCCGGATGTATATCTCCCGCACTATTTGTCCGGCGACCAAGTCACACGACCGCCGTAACAAAGTGGCGAGAGATATTTTGTCCATCAGCCTTGTCACGTGACCGCGAATGAGTCAAAACTATTGTTAATTTTAAAATCTATTTCTCTACCAAGTAATGTACATCTTGCATGCAAATGATAGAAAAAACTGAAGTGAAAGTGGCTTGTTAACATTTTTGTTTAACTTGTTATTTGAGTTTGTGTACCAGCAACCCATAATATAATTAGGGGCCAGTATTCAGTAGGCAACCAATAAAAGTAAAAAAAATTTAATTGTAAAATAAAAATTTTAAATTGCAAAAAATATTTTAAAACTTCTCATAAAACTACTGTTGCTGATGAACATGATAATATAAATATAATATTAAATATTTATATTAAAATGGAGGGGGGGGAGAATGGTTCCTATGCGGGGAATCGATCCACTAATGTAAAATCGTCATGCGGGTACATGACCACACAAGATCATCTTAGTAGCTATTTCCTTCGCTTCGGAATAATGTCTACTAATCGTCTGGCGGTCACATGACATGCGCGCCGGACGTGTAGACACTTCGTTTCCAAAATGCCGGAAAATTTATATATTATAATTAACTACTCAGTTAAATCATAATTTAAAACATTCCCTCAGCATATGTCATATTAAAGAAAAGTTAACTCTACTAACATCCAATTATAAACATAAGGGAGATAATCCTACACAGAAACTCACAGTTGCGTAAATTGACCTAAGTTAGGCTACTTAACTTAGGCTAGGGCGACTGGTCTAATTATATTTATTTAAATTATTGCCTCTTGTTGATTATTAACTATGACCGACGGTTCAAACTCCATCTTGCCATTTGTCCTGTTGGAGTTTTAGGATAGTTAGTTTGGGTTTACTGAAACACAGAAGAGCTTTCTGAAACATAAAGATATTATAAAATATGAACAAGTCTGACTGACTTGACACACAATATATCACAACTAACAAGGGTGAAATCATTTTAAAAGTTATGTAACTCAACTAACTTATGGCTATACTATAATGTGTAGGCTTACACCCACTTCATCTACTAGTACTAGGCCTGCCTACCTTATTTTTATATAAACCTATGCACTAAAGTTTAAGAAGGGCCATAAGTTAAACAAAAGTAAGGTTTGCCTTTAGTCAGTTCGTATCAATTGTGATTTATAATAATTTATATAAGTATATTTTTTTATATCTTTTCACAGCAATAGTAAAATTGATGAAGACTTTATTTGGATTGTGGCCATGGCGTACACAGGCAAGCAGTAGTGGAAAAAACAGTGATTACCCTTCTTTAATGAACAATGGTTATGAATCTACATGTGACAAACAGGAACAACTTAAACACAAAATTCAAGCAAATTGGTTTCAATCAGCTGATAGTCAAGGAGAAACACTTAAAGTTCAATTGTCAACAAAGTCCAGAATAATGCCAGCACTTCTTCGGCTTGATAGTACAGGTGAAATCTCATCTGTCAATCATCACATTGAGAAAAATCGGGTGGATGTGAACAAGTACCAAACTAAACCTAGAACCTTGGGGTCATTTGTAAATCCTAAGATGTCATTGAATAAAAATTTTGCCTCACCAGTTTACCCTCATAATTTCAGCATGTCGTTTCCGGGTCAGGTTTATAATTCTAAAAACCCTCCCTTCCCATTATCATCTACGAATAGTTGGTACACCAATAGCCCAAGCTTGAAAAGTCGTACAGCTTTGTATAGCCTTTCTAAAAGCAAAAGCTTCCCTACAGTGAAAGAATTTGCAACTAGTCTAGACGATGTGCAACCTAAGAACCTCAACACCACAGGTCAAATGTTTGGTAATAACCAATTTTTTGCTGCACTGACAAGTCAGGCGTATAAATTGGCATCTGAGGAAGATACCCCAAAGGCAAATTTGCAGCATTTGTGGAAATCTTTATTTAGCCAGCCTGCTACGCGACTGTCACAAGCTGCCTTCTCAGACAGTACTGTAGGTCAAAAATTATGTGATATTAGTTCAGCTGTAATTCCTTCCAGTGACACAATGACTTTCAATAGTTTGTTGGTACCATCACATAATGCAGCAGAACTTGAAAGCATTGACTCTCACAAGTCACAAGAGTATCAGAAAAGTGAGTCGCTTCAAAATTCTAATGAGGAACATGCAAGTAAATCCTCTTCTAAATGTAGCAGAAGTAAACGAGACAACGATTCACTTGACATAAATAATCCATCCATGAACATTGAACCCAGCAATAATATTAATCATTGTGCATTCAATCACAGTGGGGGAAATGTTTCACCTTCTGTGTTGAATGCACCTAGAAAAGTTGTGAAGAAAGGTCGTCCTTCATCAAAGAAACAAAGAAAAAGACAGCGACAGAAGCAAAAACATGCATGTCGATCTTCACCCAAAGATGAAACTTCTAGCTTAATTGAAAATGTGAGCCAGAGCTGCCTTGATAAATCAAGTTCTTTTGATATAGTCTTCACATCAGATGAATCCCCAAATGCCCAAGTTTGTGAATCCAAAGCTCTCAGAGCTTCAACGCCTGTTAAAGATCCCTCTAGACATTTAGAAAGAGACTCTTGTGTTAGGTTTACTTTAGATTCAGATTCAGATGAGTCAGACATTGAATTTGATGGCTGTGATTGGTTGGGTGAAGAAAACTTAAAAGTTGACTTATCTCCTAAAGATAATGCTGTCTTCAACGTAACAAGTCTAGATACAATTTTCAAACGGACAAGCATCCCTAGTCTCAAAAGTATTTTAACAGCGGATGAAGGAAGGTCTGACTCGGAGTCTAGTACTCCACTTCTTTCACCTACCCCTGAGAAGGCAAAGAATGGTTTGTGTTTTAATTTGATCAATGTTAGTTTCTCAGAGGATGATAGTACTCAGGAATTAAATGCCATCTGTGATCCATCACTTTCTTCATCTCCTTTGGAAAAATGTTTTTTTCAACTCTCACCTGGATTGTGTTTAGATCGTTTGTTTCCTAGTAACTCAAGATCATCTAATCTGGCCCCAGGGGTTGTTTCCCTTGATCAAGCTGATTGTGCTCAACTTCCTTGCCGTTCATCATTTATTACAGAAATTAATGCTAAATGGAATTTGAATTACCCAAGTGCTGGCTTCCGAAGTTGTCAGTCGGTTTGCAAAGATCAGGTTGATGATCCTAGTATAAAGGTGAGGTTTATTTAACTTTATTTTAACAATTACCCGGTAAAAAGAAAGAAAAAATATAACATCTACATTTCTTTCTTCTTTTTTTTCAATGATATATTGACTTTTAGGTTTTTTTTAATGTAATGAATGTGAGCCTTGAGCAATGTCTGTCAAAGTAGTTGACCAAGAACCTTATGTAGGTTCCCACAACATGAGACAAGAAGTTGAAAATCAGCTAGCTTTAAATAGTAAGAGTTGATATGGTCCTTTCACATTCTCTTACCGTAGATTACAATTTTTTTTTGGCCATATTTAGGGATTTAAACAAATGTATATCTACCTTTTAAGTAACTATGTTTGAATTGACCGTTGTAAATTAAAAATATTAAAGCTAAAGATTGTACTCAACCTAATTTAACATAGCCATACCTCCGACCTATATATGGTTTCTGAAAAAGCTTTTTAATTTAAAAAAAATGATAATATTTTCATGTGTTAATACTATTGACTCTTGGACCATTCACCAGTCATCAATTATATTTCTCTGTTCGTTGACCATCTTCCAATCATATTTCTTTGGTTCATTCACTTCGATATATTCTATACTATCTACCAACGGCAGTGTGGCTATGAATGTAATGTATATATATGTACCTGTCTTAAATTGAAAGATGTGATTTTAAAAATGTGCATATTTATTTCCATATCCAATGTGACAGCGGAAAGTAACCGCTCGTGATTAATAAATCTTGCAACGATCCCTGGTTCATTGGGATAAGTTGTCGACCGGTCCTTTAAACTTTATTGTTTGAGAAAACTTGAGCTTCTACAATGGCTAACAAAATTATAACAATGCATGAACTATAGTGCTAATTTTGTATACTTTGGCAATTCTGATAGTGGTTTAATATATATATTTCATTTTAAATCTCAACAGGTTCATTTTGCTGCAGAACCACATCTTTTGACAGTCCATGTTGTAGGGACAGAAGACCGCTATGGTACATGGCAGCTTTATGCTCTAGACCGAGATAGATTTCATAGGCGCATACAGGAGGCTAAGAACGTGATCTCCCCTGTTTTGGAGCAGCAGCACCGAGCTAAAATTATGGAACGCAATTCACAACTTCTCACAGACTCAGAGAAACGAGAGCTGAACAATAATTAAAATTCCATATATAAATTTTTTCTGTAGACTCGTTTCCAAATATCTAGTCTTGTTATTACTTTCAGGATAATTTCTTGTTTTTTGTTTATGGATTCACTTAATTGTTTAAAAAAGGTACTTCTAATACTGTGCAAATTTCTTTTTCTCTTCTGTAGTTGCTTGTTCTTCAATAATAATTCAAGAACTGCCTATTTTATGACATTAAAATTGCGCAAATTAAATTCGTAAGGCTATCCTTCATGTAGAGTCACATAGTCGATATTAATTTAGTTTTGAATGGTTTAATGTCTTGTAAATACAATACCCCCCTCACCTCAACCTTTTTTTTATTCCTTTTTTATTTATTTGCGTCCTGTTGGATAGTTTAACATCACGGGATAGTTCAATACCCATTAGATTCCACTTTTACAATCATAGGCACCAAAAACCAAATTTCATTTGTGACGTTTAATCACTTTCTTAAGGGTACAATAGCTAACTAAGAAAGGTAATATCTAAAGGTCATGATAAGAAAAGATGCATTGCAAGTCACAATCATTGGTTACTTTATAAAAAACTATTAGTAATATAATGAAATTTCGTTGTATCCATTCTGGTTATAACTAGAAATGTTTTAGGTGCCTAATGTTTGTAATCAGGATGCAACTAAGTTTTCTATAAAAAAAATTTAAATATTAAATTTTCATTGTTTTTGGTGGTTGATGTAAATTGAATTGTCTGTGCCAAAAAATTATAAAAGGCCAGCAAAGCATAGTTAAATTTTTATAGCAATATTTTGTTTAATTTGTTTTGTGTTTGATACTGTAATCATGTTGTATTGTGAAATACTTAAAATTATGTTATGATCATGAGCAGGTCAGTGTGCCCTTTTCACATTCCATTCTGGTGAGAGTCATTGTATTAAGAAATGTGTAGATTTAAAATCATAGAGCCCTTTTGTATTCAAAACTTTTTTGCTTCAAAGTTAAGGTGACGGTTACTGGCTAATATGTGTACATTTTTGTTGTATTGTGATATATTAATAATTGGATTTGGTGTTTGTTTGGTTTTTTGTTTTTGTTTTTTTAACCAGTAGACCTGATGCCGGGTTTTGATTTCATGTGCTCACAAAACACTAGCCACTTGTTTTCTTTAGTTAACCTCTAATCAAAATGAAAATCTTTTAAGTTGTATTAATAATTAACACTTCTGCTTGTTTGCTCCAATATGGAGGTACATACTGTATGTAAGCAAACCACACTTAATTTCAAACTGAGCTCTCTGATTTACTGCTGTTTTTCAGTTGTATTCTAAGCAGCCTAACTATGCTTTAAAAATGTATGTTTTGTCCCTGTGCGTCACCTGCATTTCCAGTCTTTCATTTTTATACATAAAATATCATTAAGCTATGCATATGTGTGGTTACTTAAAAAACTGTTTCCTATAGTTTGAAATGATCTGTAGCATAAATGTTTGCTACTCCTAAATGACATCTGTTTTATTCAGATGAACCCCCTTACAGATTTCTAAAGATAAATTTAGACTGAGGGTATCTTTACTTTTGTCCTCTTGTAATCTAGCAACCTTTATTTATTGTTCATCCCACTGGCTTGAAAAAGATGAGCAGGTGCAATAGGACTTAAATCCAAAGGCAATTTTTTTTTTTAATGAAACCATCTTGAGTAACGGGTAGTAGATGGGTTGTGTTTACTCCCAAGTATTTCCTTCTTCTTTCAAAGTGGTATCACTTGGTGTCATTCTATGGAGCAACTCCTCACCAGGGTTTCATCATGCTGTTGGCTCATATTGCCAATCATCCTAATTTAGACTTCAAATCCTGACTACAGCTTTTACTTCGGTCTAGAATTTCATCATGTTTGTTTCCAAATATGTCTGTAACTTACTCAATATCTAAATGTTTTACAAATTTAATCAAAATCTTTTTCTCTCTCTCTCATTGCCTTTTGAACCAGCTGTAACTATTAACTAGCCTTGAGACAAAATGTAGACGTAGTTATGAAAAATTATCAAAGGTCAACATGTCTTTTAGTTGGAACACTTATTAAATATTTTTTTAAAATTTGGATTCTTTTTTTTTTTTCCCTTTGAATTTCAAGTGTGCATTGGTTGAATTGGATAAGACCCATGGACAATTTTTTATGTGTCTGTAACTGTAAAGATGCTGAGAACCTTTAAGCTTAGTAGGTTAATTAGAAATAAAGTTTTATCAATTAGATTTTGTATAGTACTATGGTAGCTTATATAAATATATAATTTTATATTCATAAAAAACTACTGACCTATAAGATCCGCTTTGGATTACTTTAATTGCTCTAAATGGGGACAACTGTCCTAAAAATAATGAAACCAGCTATCACTGTAAGGTGATGGTGCATACATGGAAAGGTTTTGGTAAACCCATGTGTAACCCATCCAGGCTTACACTTACATGCGACACAAATGATGATCAGAAGGTAGGTAGGGTGTTGGTTAAAATCAACTGTATGCTTTCTTGACATTGCAATGGGTCTATCCTATTCAAAAGTGACTATTTGGTGCCTAGACTTGTTCATGCTAAATATTTGTTGATATTCCTAAGTGGTGAGTGCTATAGACAGGCAGCAAAACAGATATAACAAATAAAAAACATGAATGATGAACCCTAGTCTTATTTATTTGTTGAATGGACTTTCCTGTATCACCTGGCATGTAAACACATTCAAGCCTGTTCTATGAAATGGAAGTACTTTGTAATTATGTAATAAAACTAATTCCTTGTAACTGGAGTGTGTGCCTTAGTTTTTTCTTGTGAAAGATAGTTCTGCTGTTTGGGGAAGTGGTCTCTTTGTAAATATATTCTCTACCTACATTTGCTTTCAATTCAATTGAAAAAAATATATTTTTTTTTTAAATATTAAAATTCACTGATTATTTAGCTCTGTGTAAAATATTCTAACTGACGTTAAAATCAACATTAAAGATTCGAGTACAGATTTCTTCCAATTAATTGTTTCAGAAAAAATTGCAGATTTTTCAGCTGTGCTCACAATTAAAGTGCAAAAATTGGACTCTATTGTTAAAAAAATAAGTATGTACTGCCATCTCCATTACTACCACTAGTATTACTACTTATAATAATAATCTTCATTGACCGTGCACCTAAATAACGCGAAGTGGTTCTTGGGAATTTTATAGAATATTAGAGGGTGGTCAATGGAAGTGTTATTATAAAACGTTAGAAGGGGTGGGTCAAAATGTCATATTTTAATGTTATATGTACACGCCCCCTTATAATGAATATCGGAAAGTTTTAGTGTTTTTATTCTAATTTAATAATACTAAGTGCATAAGTAAGTTCATTAATGGGGAAAATAATAGAGATATTGACGTCCCTTAAAAATAAAATATGGTTGGACTTGTTACTGTAGACATTAGTCAACGGAAGCGTACCATCCACACAAAGTTAATACATATAAGGTTGGGGGGGGGGGTAGTT